GGTGTTCCTCACGTCTGCATCGCAGTACACATTGTCGTCGTCTGCAATCAGGAAGAGAGGTAGCACACTGCAACAGACCGATGAGAGGACCGAGCACGGGCAGCTGCCCACGCTCGCGTTCGCCAAGGTAAACGCTGACTCCAGACAAGTCTCAATGGGACCTGCCCCACTCCTTGCCTCCATCGGAGGGCAAGCTCAGAGGTCGTGATCACCAATTGATTGTTCGGATGCAGCTCATTAGCGCCGAGTTGCGGAGAGGTCAGCCGCTTGTCGTAGAGAGAAAACAATCCCTAACCCGTATTACACGATCACAATGGGGGAGGGAAGTGAAGAGTTAGTGACGATCCCCGCTCATACACGTGGCTCCGGGGTCGGCAAGGGTCGGGGAAGGGAGGGAAATCCAACACACTCATGCATTCATGCAGACGGTGGACACTCAGTGTTTCCCAGAGTTGCACCTGTAAGTGCCCGCACATCTACCTGTGAGTGCCCACACATCTACTCATTTGTTTATCTTAACCCGTGAGACATTCAGCATTCATAGACTCTCGTACCACTCAGCAATGTCAGCATGCATACAACGGAATGCCCATACCTTAGGACATTGCACATATCACACTTAGACAAAGCAGCAATGGAGATAAAAGTGAGTCCCTTACTATTCCAAATTTCACACACGGCTGACCTCCCTCAAACGCAACCCCCAATCAATCCGACTCGGAACGCCAACCAACCATAGCCACAAGGCCCTGCCGCTAGCGGCATTCGATCTTCACCACCGCTCTGTCACTCAGACTGTCTTACCCCAAGTCTACCGCTAATCCCGCCCCTCGTCGTCACTCCGCCTGTCACTGACCACGTCGAGCCTGTTCGACGCCGCGGACTTCGCGCACAGAGCATTGCAGCCGAGATCAAAGAGGAGGAGAGGAAGGGACTGGGAAAATTTATAGCGCAGAAGGCGGCGGGGTGCCAGCGCGAGGTGCAGGTAGCAAGGGGTGTAGATGAGCAGGACAGAAGAAAGACCGAGGTTCTAGGAGGATTGAAAAGAGGCTACTCGAAAGTTCTGTGTGATTGGGGTGGCCGTTCAAGTGGTGCGTGGCACTGCATGCTTTTCGCTTTCACCACATTGATCCGACCATCCTAACTACACGGCCAATCACTCACGATGACAAGTAAGGAGAGGATTGGACGTCGTTTGCGGGAAGACGAAGAGGCATGCCAAAAGAAGCGTGCAGCAAGAAGGAAAGATGGCGCGGAGATGCAAAGCGGGGAATGGGTTTACGCGGCGTGCAAGAATTTTGAAAAACAGCCGCGTGCGCACTATTACGCAAGAAATTAAAATTTCCGCCCACACTAATTCCTAATTGTTTCGTGGATTTCTGGGCGCAGTCGAAAACCGTCCGTGCGGAAAAGTCATCAGGGGCAGTTCTGAAAAATAAAAATTTATTTTTCGTCTTCCCCCCCCCCAAAAAAAACAAGAAGAAAAAATAAAAGAAAAGGAAAACAACCAGAATTCGTACTAAGAGGCTTACTTTGGATTTCCCCCCCTAAGAGTACAGAAAGGCAATGAGTACGAATCCTCGCTTATCACATACCATCTTCACGTGATTTCTAGTTGCACGTGCTGCTGAATATGCTTTGTGATCTCTAACCCTTTTTTTTTTTTTTTTTTTTTTTTTTTTTAACAACGGGTGCAGTGCCCAAGGCTGATATTCAATGAAAATATTGAGGCCGGGGTCCTCACAGTCTACCCGGAGAGACCGAACCAGACATACTGAGAATCGGGCTCACCGTCCCTCCTATAATGCTGATGCTGAATCTGATTGTGATTGATGAAATTAGTGATGCTGACTCTACTGATGATGATGATTACAATTACGCTATATCACCTATTCTGGCCTCCTAAACTTAGAACAACACCTANTTTTTTTTTTTTTTTTTTTTTTTTTTTTTTTTTTTAAACGGGCCCAGTGCCCAAGGCTGATATTCAATGAAAATATTGAGCCCGGGGTCCTCGCAGTCTACCCGGAGAGACCGAACCAGACATACTGAGAACGGGGCTCATCGTCCCTCCTATAATGCTGATACTGAATCTGATTGTGATTGATGAAATTAGTGATGCTGACTCTACTGATGATGATGATTACAATTACGCTATATCACCTATTCTGGCCTCCTAAACTTAGAACAACACCTAGCCTTCCTTATATCAGAACAAAGTTACCCAGAAACAATACCTTCCTAACCAATATCCCCCATCGCTGATCTTTTCTCGCCACCTCGCAGCCCCCCCCGATTCACCACTGAATTACCTTCCTCCCTCGGCAACACCCAGATCTCTCTACAAGGCCTCACACTCCTGCGATTTGCAGGTTACAGGGCAACACCCCTGCTCCGGCCAGCGTCGTTATGGCATCGGCGAACCAGGGGCACAGAACGGAGCAACTCTGTTGACATCAGTCCGGGTTCTACCATCTCTGAGCGCCGATACCTTAGATAA